TTATCAGAACCATGACGCTGATAGACACTGTACCATCTTATCAGAACTTTGGAACTTTCTGGAGTGTCCATGAACAACTCACCGTCTTTGTCGACCTCTATGCATGAATGCATTATGATGTCATTGTATGTTGCTGTTTATGTTGCGAGGTCTTTTTTTTTTTCATCTTTCACACTGTTTCCCGGCCAGGACCTGGTGTGAGACATGATTTTTTTTGGCTTCTTCCATCCTCGTGTTCTCTTTTTCTCATCTGCCTGTATTTTGTACGTAACAGGTCTCTTGTAAATGAGTCTTCGAGGCTCAGTGGGAACTAACCTGTATAAATAAAGGTCTAATAATAATAATAATAATAATAAAATTCAGGCCCACTGTTTCCGCTCAGACTTTACACGAAGCTAAGCTAACCAGCCTCTGATCCGGAGTTATTTTTTACGAACATGAGATTTTTGTGGATCTGCAAAGCTAAACTACAGCAGTGTGAGGACTTGTAGCACTAACCAGACCACTAAACTGGCACCAGTGATGGTTTTGAGCACTGCTGCAGAGGTGGGAGCGTGTGTATTTCCAGTCTTACATAAATACCACTTTGGAGCTAAAAGTACCCACTTAGGACTCTAATTTGAGGGATAATGTGCAGATGTACAAGGTTATTTGAATTATGAGAGGGCGTGTGTTTAAGGGATGGTTTAACTAAACACACACACACACATATATATACATATATGTGTATCCTTTGATCTTGCTTGGGTGGGCCTTTTTACTTACGCTCCTCCTTTAAAACGACTCGTGTGCCTCTTGTCTATAAAAAGCTTGGGCTGGACTTGGCTCTGTGTACTTACTGAGCAGTAAGTACAGCCGAGCAGAAGCCCAGATGTAAATTAAAAGGTTTACTGGAGTTCACCACCGCAGCAAACCAAGACTGTGAACCGTTAAATGTTTACATCATGTTTCAGCGCTCTCAGAATGCTGAGCACAACAAGAGCCGCAGAAACACGCTCATCTATAATTTGGCTAAAAGCGGCGGACTTCGGTTCAGAGAGATTGTCAAGCTATGAAGATAGAATACTATTTAAAACGTGAGCAACAGAAGAACGAATGTAAGCTTTTTGTCCAGGGTTTTACATCTGTCACAACATCTGTCTGAGGCTTCAGACTGGTTTGTAGAGCGCACCTCAAGGAGACATTTGGTCGTAAACGTGCACACTCAGAGTGTTGGAAATGACCAAAAAAAAAAAAAAAAAAAAGAAATCTCCCTTCGTGTGGTCATGAATGAAAAAGCCACAGCTGGTTGAGGTCACGATGAGGCTGCGGATCTACGCAGGTCCTGTTTTCTGCTCTTTTCTAAGGAGAGCAAGCTGCTCCTAAACTTTTTCAACACTTTCTCATGTGGATTGGATCACTTCTATTGATTTATTAGGAGTAAAGTTTTACCATGAGGACAAATCAAGACAGAAGATAAGTTTTCGAGGAAGACATGAACCTTTAAAGAAGTCTGTAGAAATCCAGATGTTTATTGAGGAATTTACTGAAAGTGGACAAAAAAAAAGTTTCTGATCGTTGTCACAGAATGATCTGTTTGTAAAAAATACACTTTGTGTTAGTACGTGTAACGTGAAGAGGCCTAAAATATCAGATTCATCACCAGACCTCAGTAAGTTTTATACTTGGAAATTGATTGAATAAAGTTCTTCATATTCAGAGACATTTATTTTGTTGGTACTTAACAAAATGGAGAAACGCTTTTCTAGAAAGGTTTTAAACAAAGACGGCATACGATCAGTGAGAGCTTGGAGCATGTGTTAGGGATGACTCTGAGCTACTACCACGCCAAAGTTTAGCTCAATATCTGTAAAACTGAACAAGTGGTGAGTTTTGGATCTGCTCGAAGATGGCGGCCATCTTGGATTGAGCTGGCTTGAAACTGAATCAGTTATAAATCAAAATCTAATAATGACTTTTTTTTAGAGTTTCATTATGATTTCTGTAGAATTTCATAATGAATTTTGCTAACAGGCATGATCGCACACCTTTCATGACCGTGGGTGATGATTAGAAGTTGTGCACACACATTCCTATAAAAAAAATCTTCCTAAATCGTCTGTACAAGTCAAAGCAGAATTAATAAAAACTAGCTGATTGTACAACATTTATTCAAAAATAATTATTTTCCAATGTGAATCACTTTTTGTTTGTTTTTTTGAAGCTGCAGTTTTGAATTATTTGAATAATTTTAGCACATCTTTAATAAACTGGAAGTTCGAACATTGTTACACTTTAGGATTCTTTTTACTTCACTTTTATTTGATCTGTTAATCTTAATTGTTGAAGTCAAATTCAAAAAAAGTTCTAAAGCAGGCCAGCCTGAATCAACTAAAACCCGTTCTTGTTTTTAATAACAATAAATTAATAATATTTTACAATAACACTTTTTAAAAGCAGTTAAGAAGAGTAGACTGTATGTTTTTTGATATTTAGGTGTAAGATTCTGTTGGATGGTATTTGATAACTGACCACTGCTCTCATTTCCTGTGCGTGTGTGCGTGCATGTGCGTGCGTGCGTGCGTGTGTGTGTGTGATACTCACTGATGTAAAAGGTGCCCGGTGCCTGTTGTCCATCAAACTGAAGTATGAGGAGACTGCTGGTTTGGCTGTCATGGCGTAACCACAGGGCCACTCCTAGGATCAAACCTCCGGCCAGCTGGACAGAAACAGGCTTCAATTATTCACGTTCACGTTTCCTCATATCGACCTGAGACTCTTAGTGGATGACAGCTCAGAGAAATGAGAAAGAAAGAATATTAAATAAGGATCAGTGATATTTGTGACTTGTTGAAAAAAACGATGATGACATCGGGATATAAATGTCTAAAATGTAATCACTGTCTAACTTTTCTACGTTTCTTTCATTCTGTGCGATTGGGGCTTCCTGACACCTTGGTGACCTTTGACCCACACCATGTTGAAGGTGAATCATCGTTGGTGTTCATCTTTTGCTCTTCTGTGAGCCACCGTGCAGAATTGTCCTTACACGGCTTAACGCAAAAGTTGACCGACTACCAAGATAGTGCGTTCACTGTTCACATGAGAACGTTCATGTGCACGTATCTGCCCTCCTGTCTGCTGACTATTGTTCTCAGAGAAACAGGAAACTGAAACGGCTGAACGAGGAAAACGGGACTCAGAGGGTTTAACAAAGACGATAAAGGCAGCGAAGCCAACAGAGGAAACGATGGATCAAGTGCTGTATGTCCAGGATACGGTGACTCTGGCCTCATCTAAACAAAGGACAGATGTTCTGTGTAAAAATACCTCAAGGAATTTTACAGATAAGCAGAAGACTCTTCAAAATCACAAGCGAATGTGGCGTTCAGGGGCGTCGGGTCAAAATAAAATAACCACAGCTGCTCCCAGAACACAAACTGGAGAAAAGTTTCACTAAACACAGAAGTGGTAAGTTCTGAGGAAAATGAAATGGTAGAACCCTCACAGAATCTCTCTGTTGTCTTTTTTAAGAGCTGAAGATGATTTAATTCTACTTTCAAAGCAGCATAAAGCCAAGATGTTCCATGACGACTTTATTGTGAGCCCACATTAACTCTGTCAAATTATACATGTGAAGCAGAGCTGATGAGACAAGATGATAAAAGCAGAATCCCCACGAGAGGACCTTGGGTGATGCTCAATCATGAAGAAAGTTCCTCATGATGAAGAGCAAAAGCATCGTCAGCTCCGGCCTGACCAACATTTATCCCCCGTAGCTTCAAAATACTGCTTTTGAGATCAAACCCCATTGAATTTAATCTCACAGTTTTATAGATCGGTACAAATATGCAGCAATTATAACACAAAAAGTTGTTTTTTTATAATTATAAAAGCAGAAAAAAATATGTAATGTAAAAAAAAGTTAAATTACTCACCCAAAAAATAAAATTAAGGAAGAATAACATGTATTTTATGCATCTGGAACACCCCGCCACAGCCATGTTCTTCTGAGCCTGTTCCTTTTTGCTCCCGATCCAAAATGATTTATGAGTCCAGAATACTTCCAGGGATCACGGTCTGAGCCAGAAGAGACTCCGTTTGACTCAGGCCCGTTGGTTCCAGTGTCTCAGAAAACTCCTCCTTTATAATGAAGAGGGGAAACGGAGACGAGGAACTGCCCACCATCTGGAGCAGACAGGAGAAGGCTGGGTGGGGGCCGGGAGGGAGCCCCACTTCCCCTCCAAAACTTTGAGAGAGGAAAAAAAGGAGAGACAGAGTGCTAATATGAGACATGAATGAGTGAACACTGGTAATTCAACCCAACTTAACCACTTTGCTTGAACTGTTCCTTTGACTGAATAAGAATTGTCCCCAGGTGCTTCCTGTACCTGCACATGTGCACTACGCCCCAACAGACTGTATATTTTTAGACTTACAAACGGAACCTTGAAGTTGAAGCCAGAACAGGACCAGCTTCCCTTGGTTCCAGTGCAAGTTTTAAGCCCCGCCTCCATCACATAAACAAACGCAACTCCCCTCTGACACTATAGTCCAAGCGTTATTCTAACCTTGCTGCTGTATGTTCAGATGGTCATCTTTCTAATGGGTGTTATTGTAATTAGTTCTTTCATGCTTCAAAGAAAGGTCATGTGACACTGTGATTGGAAAGTGGGACTAAAACCACATCAGACACTGGTTCCAAAAATACCACATGGAAATGGTTCTGCTGGCTTCAGCTCCCACCAACAAGAGAAGGCGAGGACATTTGTCCTATAATATGCACAGTCTTGCTCTTGAGGCCAGAAGGTGCCATTTTTAACTCACTTTCACAGATTTTGCTCAAAATGCTTTTAGGAGACACACTGGTCTTGAATACGTTGCCAGTCTGAGCTGTTTGCTGAGGACAAAGCTTTGAATATGTATTAATCCTTTGGCTCACTGGATGTACTGGATCAACTTTTAGAGTCAGCCCAATTCAAGATGGCTGCCACTACACAGCCATTGTAGCAAACACAAAACTGACTATGAGGGAATGTCCTCACAGTGAGTTAAAATGTGTTGTGGTAGTGGCTGAGAGTCATTCACAACACAAACTCCAAGCACTAACAGATAACTCCAGATATGGAAATGTTTAATGACACTGAAGTTATTTTCAAGGTTTGACCCAAACAGCACACCTCCATCATTTCTTTCTGTGTGGAGCTTGCATGTTCTTCTTGTGCATGTGTGGGTTTTCTCCGGGTACTCCGGTTTCCTCCCACAGAATAAAAACATGCATGTTAGACTCCCTTCCTGTCCAGGCCTCCCTTGCAAAAGAGATCTGTGCTCTCGGTGGGATTTGTCTGGTTAAATAAAGGTTAATGAATAATGTGCATTCCTTCATGGAACGCTAGCTCTTAATATCATCTGTCAGGAATCCTTATTTTATTGCTCAATGTTGCCAGGTGAGGAGCACGGTCTTTGCAGGGATCTGCAGCGCCCTCTGCTGGCAGACAAGCCAGACGGCGGATAATTATATGAATCAAGCGGCGCACGCACGGAGATGTTTTGTGAATATTAAATGCAGTCCCTGCGTGCAGCTGCTTCTGGTCCAAGTGTCATCATTAATCTGTAGCTGAACAACAGCTGCAGTTAAAAGTCTCAACTCGGACACATCTGTAAACCGCAGCGCCGCGGGAGGTGTTCATTCGTCAGGGCTTTAGGCGCATCTGCGCGTTCATGACTCCAGGTTCACACCTTCTCCAGACAACTGTGCGCGAGGACGATGCTGCAGCTGCTGCTCTCCAACCAAAGCTGAACGACAGAAAGTGCAGCCGTTTCAGCAGCTAAAACTGAGGGTGTAGTTTCAGCTCCAGGAGCCTCCACTGGGCATGCTCAATGATGGAGGAGCACGGCTCCGTGTGAATAAACAGGCAGAGGGTTTGGGCGTTTTGGAGGAGGCTGGTCGCCCTCTCATCTTTGGTTTTCTTTATTTGGTCTCAAAGCAGCATTGATGTGGACGTTTTCTGGGATGTTTGCTTCTAACGCATGAGTGACAGAGGAGGGGGACGAGGTGTCTGTGGAGACAAAGAGCTGCGGTGGCGTCGTCAGAGAGGGAGCGAGGAGGTGAGTCTGTAGGCAGCAGCAGCAGCAGCATCAGGACCAGGCGCTGTCCGCTCAGCACCACCGCAGTCACCTTGCTGTGAAAGTCAGGAACCTGCATCTGATCCACCCTCCCCCGCCACCTGCTGAATCCGACGAGCCTGGAGCAGATCTGCTCCATCTGACGTCCATTCATGTGATCCCACTGCCTGCTGTTTATGGATGTGATCCTTGCACAAGGGAAGAGGTTTATTTTTGTAACCCGTTTCAGCTCATAAAGGTGCTTGTAGGTGCAGGCTTTGAAGGGGAATGTAGCCCGGTGCGTCTCAAACAGCACCCACCTCTCCACCCTCCGGCTGCTTCGTGCGTAAAATTGTTCCCGCGAGTCTGAGCGGGCGCGCCTTCAGGCTCACCTTTGCCATGTTGAGGGGAACTTGTTGGAGAAATGCCTAGGGGACGCGATGGGCCTGAGCGACGACAAGGATCGCATTGTGATCAACGTGGGAGGGATCAGACATCAGACCTACCGCAGCACGCTGCGCACCCTGCCCGGCACGCGGCTGTCCTGGCTGGCCGAGCCTGACGCGCCCAACCACTTTGACTATGACGAGAAGACCGAGGAGTTCTTCTTCGACCGCCACCCGGGCGTCTTCGCGCACATCCTCAACTACTACCGGACAGGTAAGCTGCACTGCCCGGCCGACGTCTGCGGGCCGCTCTACGAGGAGGAGCTGGCCTTCTGGGGCATCGACGAGACAGACGTGGAGCCGTGCTGCTGGATGACCTACCGCCAGCACAGGGAGGCGGAGGAGGCCCTGGATAGTTTCGGCGGAGGGGGTCTGTTAGACCTGGGGAGCGACGACCCGGAGCCCGAGCCCGAGCACGAGGATGATGATGAGATGACGAGGAGGCTGGCGCAGGGGGACTCACCTGACACCAGGACCGGCAGTCTGTGGAGCAGGTGGCAGAAACGGGTCTGGGCCCTGTTCGAGGACCCCTACTCTTCGAAATATGCAAGGGTGAGTGTTCCCAGTCTGGTCAGGGAACAGCTTGATGGGCTGAATCAACAAAACACTCGACTGGTTTGTCTTCTACAATCACTGATGAGTCTTTAAGGTTTTGTGACCTTGCAGGCAGCGGTGTGGTCTACATCTTATACTGTGCTTAGAAACCAAAGTACACTGGTTAGCACAATATAATCATACATTTATTTTGATTTTTAAGCATATATTGAACATTTTCAAATTTCTCTGATGCTTGTATTTGAATAAATGTACAACAAAATTTGTACGACAGTTGTTTTTTGTATTAAAAACATGTTATATAATTTATAAAACTGTATCAAAGCAAAACATGTTCAAGTATTAAGTAGTTTGCTGGATAAGTGAATGTAATAAACAAGAAGTGCATACAGATAGATTGTTACAGAAGTGTTGAACAGCCGTTTAACATATCAATGACACGCGTCTAATGATGTGTCATGTATCACTGGGAACTTTTAAGTGGGTATACTGGAATTGTCAAGCTTTTGGGTATAGTCCGTATACCCACGTACCACATAGACCACTGCTTGAGGCTCTTCACAGAGCAGCAAGACAAACTTTAAAGTCATTAAAGCCACGCATTCTTTGAAGGAATGCACATCACCCGCCGACTGTCAGAACAGTTTTATGCTGAGAAATTACGAAGTCATCATTTTGGTCAAACCTCGAGAATAATGCAGCTCACACTCAAGCGTATATTTGGTGGATGACTCTCAGCTACTACCACATCAAAGCTTAGCTCTGTATCTGAACCACGACCTGACTTATAACCATTTTCATGTTGGCTAATGTTGATTAGATGTGGCGGCCATCTTGAATTAGATTGACTCCAAAGGTTAATCAGGTGTAGAGGTTCATCAAATGATTCATTTCTGAAAGTTTCCTTAAACTCTGTCAAGTGGTTCGTGTGATATTATGCTAACAGACAAGCAGAGTTGACTCCGAGGTTAATGCAAAAGTTTTCAGCTAAGCTCTCATGCAGTAAGTGGCACTTATAGAGTGACTGGCTCGAAGCTACAACCTCACTTGCAGCTTAATATCCATAAAACTGATTGCATTATAACCATTTTTGTATTGTCCAAAGTCACTTGGCTGTGGCGGCCATCTTCATTTGTACTGGCTGTAAAAGTTAATCAGCTGTGAAGGTACATCCCTGAAAGTCATTAAAATGTGTAGTGTGATTTAAACGATTCCGCAGACAAGGGGCAGTATGAAACCCAGGCCGGCTCCTACAGGTGTTTGGACCGATGGTTCCAGGTCACAAGAATCTGTGGGCCCAGTGGCTCTTTGCCTAAATGGGTCAGCTGCACATGGGGACAGCAGCTCTTTGGCACCACAGTTTGTGGCAGACCTCCAGACAAAGAATGAGGTTGCTGCTTGAAGTGACATTTTTAGTTTTTGTTACGGGCACATTTCCATTTAGGTATGATGCCTTCCAGTTAGCCCAGTACTTTTTGACCATCAGGTCCTGCGAAGACCACTGAGCTGCATGCTGTGTGAACAGCTGCTGCAACCTGATTGATGTAAATATTATCAGACAACTGAAATATGCATTTCACATTTAATTTCCTTTTAGCAAGAACTCCTCGCTGACCCACATTTGTCAGTTAGCACGACAAAAGCAGAGCAGGGACTGACAGAGCGCCACAAACACTACACAGAAGATTAATTAGAATTGAGCTTCAGAGTTAATTACACACTCTATTCACAGTGGAAAGCCTCCGTCACAGCATTCTGCTGTAGACGGTGACAAGTTCTGCCAGCAAGAGTTAAAATTAGCCCCAAAATAAGATTACATGTTGCCCATCCACAGTTTATTTTTTTATTTTTTAAACAAACAGGCACGATTTCATCGGCAGTCTCATAAAACGTGACATTTGTTCCATTGTTTGGAAGGTGAGATGTTCAGCAGGCGGAGCGAGTCATCTGCAGGAAGAACGTGATTTTGTCACATATTTGTTTAGTGTTGAAGTACGGAAGAGGATTAGGGCCACGGTGCAATAATTTTTTTCCCCCTTAATTCTGAGAAGAAAAAAAAAGTCAAAATTCTGAGATTAAAGTCAAAATTCTGAGAAAAAGTCATTATTCTGATATTAAAGTGAGAATTCTTCAGCATTCAGCATCATTCAAGAGGAAGAGGTCTGAAGATGTCGGATTTTAGTAATTATTTTTCCTCGGAAATCTGACTTTAAGAATTCTGACTTTAATTTCAGAATTCTGACTTTAATCTCAGAATTCTGACTTTAATCTCAGAATTCTGACTTTTTTCTCAGAAGTAAGGGGGTGGGGGAGATTATTGCACTGTGGCCCTAATCCTCTTCCGTATTGAAGACTTTCTACCTTTTTTTAATTTAATAAATTAATTCATTCATTTATTTATCTATTTGTTTATTTATTTATGTTAGTAATGGCTGTCACGTTCTATCTGTTTTACAGGGAAATTATAAAATCCAAAAAGACAAGCTAGTGATAATCTGAAACCACTAAGAAAAGCAGCATGTTTCATTATTCATTTCACTGTTTGCAGTCAGTTTGACTTGAACTGGATCAACATTTTAAGTATTGAGTTTTTTGTTTGTTTGTTTTTGTGCAGAACACACTTCAGAGGGGGTGGACTAAACAGTATTACGCAACCCTATAAAACACAAGCACTCAAAGGCTCAACACTTGACAACTGTTTGTTTTTTATCAATAAGATGCAAATATGCAATGATTTTAATCATTTCTTAGATAAGCTCTCATTTTGGACAGCCCAGTTGACTGTAGTCAGTTTAGAGGAGACGATGCATTCTGTCCCAGTGAGAGCATCACAATAACATGGAGGTGAAGCAGACATTCATGAGCAGACATTTCCTCAGCACATTGGTGATGAGATGTTCTAACGAGGGTCTGTTTTCCATCTTGTGCTGCACGCCTGCCTCCCTGTGAATGGCTGTGACTGTCAGAGGCAGCACTTACTTCCTTGCAGAAATGAATACACAGACGAGTTCATGCCCAGACCTGCCCATTTTCATCTGACTGCTTCCCTGCTCATTACTCCTTGGTGCTCTTTAACAACACCGTGCATTAGTTTAGGAGGCACCACGGAGCCGGACATTTGCATGCAGGACCAAACTGCTATTGATCCAACTTTTGCATTTTATTGGATGATTATCTTCTCTTCCTGTTTTACTTTCCTGTCCATCTCTGGTCCGCTCACCTCCCTGAGGATGGAGATTCTCTTGGCGTCTAGCAAAACCCACGAGCAGTGAGATGCGCTGTAATCTAACACAGTGTGATGGGAGGAAGATGAGCGCTGTAATCAGTGACTCTGGAGAGATTTGTTGCTCTTCTGTTGTGTTCACCAGAACTTTCAGAACTTAAATGTGATGAAATCAGAGAGTCTAATCGATACGTAATGAAGGCTAAAGTACTTTTTTTTTTTTGCCATTAAGTGAATTACGGGTTTCTCTAAGCTCCCCGAGATTCCCAAGAGCTGCTCATTGGGACAGTGTGACCTTGTAGAGGGAAGACCTACTGTACAGATGGAGCTGAGGGGAAGAGCCCGGGCTAAATTTAGCTGAGGGTTGACACTAATGTCCTGTTTGCCAGTACTGCTGCTGCTTCTGGCTCTTTGTAATTCTGCATATAGGACGCCCATGAAAACGTCCCCAACCTTGAGCTACAACAAAGAGCAGGAAGATGGAAAGAGCAAGCTTGCGCTGATCATCCCTTTTCCAAAGACACTTCAGAGTCAAAGCACAAAGAGATTAGTCACTGTCAAGCTAGATGTCATTGTGTGAGCTATTAGATTGTGTCCTAGAATGACTAAAGCCATCAAGCTTGATTACACTGTTTATGTTACTGTGCTCATTTTCCTTTGTGTCCTCTTCCCTCCTCTTCTTCCTCTGCACCCTGTTTTACTATCCAGTGGATAGCTCTGGCCTCATTATTCTTCATTCTGGTGTCCATCACCACCTTCTGCTTGGAGACCCATGAAGCCTTCAACCCCATCATGAACCGCACAGAGGAGGAGGTGGTGGGAAACGAAACAGTGGTGAGCACCTACCAGGAGACGGAGACGGCGGCCTACCTTACCTACATCGAAGGCGTTTGTGTGGTGTGGTTCACGTTTGAGTTTCTAATGCGAATAACTTTCTGCCCGAATAAATTCGACTTCATCCGAAATGCGCTGAACATCATCGACTTTGTGGCTATTCTGCCCTTCTACCTGGAGGTGGGCCTCAGTGGGCTCTCCTCCAAGGCGGCTAAAGACGTCCTGGGGTTCCTGAGAGTGGTCCGCTTTGTGCGGATTCTGCGTATCTTCAAGCTGACGCGTCACTTCGTAGGGCTGCGCGTGCTGGGCCACACTCTGAGGGCCAGCACCAACGAGTTCCTGCTCCTCATCATCTTCCTTGCTCTAGGTGTCCTCATTTTTGCTACTATGATCTATTACGCCGAACGCATCGGAGCTAACCCCAATGACCCACGAGCCAGCGAGCACACACAGTTCAAGAACATCCCAATTGGATTCTGGTGGGCTGTGGTGACCATGACGACCCTCGGCTATGGAGACATGTACCCCCAGACGACCTTTGGCATGCTAGTCGGAGCCCTGTGCGCCCTGGCAGGTGTGCTGACCATCGCCATGCCTGTCCCTGTGATCGTCAACAACTTTGGGATGTATTACTCTTTGGCCATGGCGAAACAGAAACTACCAAAGAAAAAAAGCAGGCACATCCCTCGGGCACCCCAACCAGGATCACCTAACTACTGCAAGTCCAGCATCAGCTCCCAGCAACCAAGCCCCATAGCCCACGACGACGTCTTTGAGATCAAATTTCAAGGTAAGAAACAAACCAAACACAAATTCTAATAAACTGTTGTCTCACTGCTTCTCTTTGCTGTATCACTATTCAGCAGATCCACTGTCTGGGTCCGCACATCAATCAGCCAGTGATTCAGGCACCAGATTAAACAAATAAAAGAAATTCTGAAAACCTTCTACAGTGTAGAGCACTGTATGTAATGAAAAGCATATTTGACTCATGATCAAAGAACACAGAGACTGTGAGTAATCTTGCTATTGATTTTGCACTTCTTAATGCCGTGATTCACTCCGCATCTCTCAAGACTAAGTGCATGTAGTTGCAGTGTTAAGATCAACCATTAGTTGATGCTAAATGACTTACTGTCCCTCTGGTGAAGGCTGTGCAACTATATATTGATCTTTGGTGCTGTTTGTGCACAAAAACATGCAGAGCTTTACAAGGACATTTCACTCCTGAAATGAGCAGTTTTATTGTACCCGTCTACTCACGTGTAAAGATCTTAAAGAGCTGATTATTTAAGGGTTTGGTTCTGTGAAACGGTTCTGATTAATAATGTATTTCCTGGTGTAAATAACTCTTTGGGGAAGTAAAACTTCATTCTGACTGGACTGATGAGTTCAGGCTACACCAGACGCTTCAGCTAGCTGTTGCTGCCTATATTTACACGCAAATAACCGCAGCTATCCATGTAAATAATGATGTAATGAAAAACTGATGGAGCTGTAAAAGTTTATAAAAGCGTACACATGAGTTGTAATAAAATCAGTGTCTGAAGTTGTTTGAAGCTGGCAGGGATACACTTTGGTTGGCTCTTGTTAGACTAGCCATTAGCTTATCAATCCAACGTTATTACCCCGAAGTGAATTTGTTTAAAGAGCTCTCTCTCTCTCTCTGGTACTAAATGTGCAGAACTTTAAAAGAACCCTACTTGTAAAGATCTGAACCATTACTTTGAGTAGGTGTCATGTCATGTATATGAAAATGTAACACTGAATTTGAAAATATATATTTTTATTGTATTTCTAACAAGACTCCAAGCTGAACGGTGAGGCAGCGAACGCAGCTCTGGCCAATGAAGATTGTCCACATATAGACCAGGCTATATCTCCAGAGGAGATCTTCAGCCCCAGTGAGAGAGAGCGCCCCTGCTTCTTGGTCACCACCGCCGAACGTCCTAACCACACAGGGGGCAGAGTGAGGAGGGGTACGTACAGTAACAGTCAGTCACAGGGCCCCCCGAAACACTGACAGCCCGTACACTGTAAACACAACACACTCCTTTTCTGCCTCACAGGCACTGACAAAAAAACACACAACAACAAACCTCACACTCTTTCACAACAACTGCTTTCCTCAAGCATCCTGCTGGGCATTGTAAATATATATATGTAGATACACACATACACTGCCAACCCACATACGTCAAGGTCAAGCACAATCACTACAAATGTCAAAAAGTATTTGTCCACATCTACATAATATATATTTTTATACCATTCATAATGTAATTATCTGTATTTATTTACCACAGTGAGAAAGCTATTTTTAAATTTTTTATGATCTAGAACGTGTTGTCGTACATTCCTAAGAGAGTATCTATGTGCTACACATGTATCATGTATGTGCTTTATTGGTAAATATGTTGGTTTCTGACTTACAAGAGCATACTGACCATCACAGTGCATGAAATGTCTTGCTGGTGGGTGCTATCAGTATGGTGGAGGAGCACAACACAAAGAACTAATGTCACTATTATTTTTGTTGTATTTTTTTACTTATAATGACAATAAATCTGTTTTTCTTTGATGGTTCCTTTTATAAAGGGGAGTCAGGCTGTGTGCGGTAAATGGCAGACAGTGTGAAATTCAACTTGTAGCTGAGGGTGCAGTTCCCGCCTGGGGGTGCCTACCTTTCTTGACTTTTTCCAAGTGTTTTACTCCAAACCATTCGAGTAGCACCCGGTGCATGCCGTTGTACTCCTGATGCACTCAATGCATGGACAATAATAAGTTGTCTCAAGTCTGTGTGTGACCTGTTTCTTTGGAGACAAAAACAAGAAAGCAACAGGTTTAGTATAGACAGTGAGGAACACAACAAACACTCTGTCGTGGATTCAGTGCTGCAGTGTACTCAGAACGTTCTCTGTTTTTCAACTGAAGGTTATGAAAAGCCTTGGAGCCTTAACAGCATGTCTGGCATGAGCGGGGATGCCTCTGGAGTGTCCTCAGTGTCCGCCCTGCCCTGCAGCCCACCCTGTCTATTGCAGCACTCACATTCTCCCATCCCATCCATTATGTAGCATGGTTGAGTAGCAGACACAATGCCATTGGAAGGCCAGTCCACACTCCTCCTTATCTTTCCTGTCAGATTTTTTGCTTTGACACTTGCCTTCGCTCCTGCTACATTTTTATTTCATTTTATTTTATCTACATTTTTTTTGTTTCTGGAAAATTGTTTCTTAACTGTGCTGATACTCCAGCTTCCCAAGTGGTCCACTTGGGTGTGTCATCATATCCTAAAGTAGTCAAGGTTGGCACATGCCGCCCTGCATGGGTCATCTCAGCTGCAGACAAAGCTCGGTTCTTCTGCAGGCTAACGCCACTCTTTTCTCCCTGTGTGGACATCATCGCCTGTTGCTCTGTTGCTTTTGATCTCTCATACTCTTCTGCTAATAAGTTTGATCTCATTCGCCTTTTGTTTTGTTTTTCTTTTAGAATTGTGTGAACTAGATTTTCATGAGATGTAACCCCTGCTAGCAGTATGCTGGAAGTCAATATTTCATTGCTTTTTAAACATATCCAAAAGCTGTTAAGGCAACTCTTAAGTGCTTTGTCCGTTGCAAAGTAGAGACGTTTATTTATTTATTTATTTATTTTTCATTCTGAAGTGCAGTCCAGATGAGACCCAATGTTAGCCGAGTGGCCACAACTGAAAAAAAAAAAAGAGCGTAATGTTCATGGTGTCCAATGCAATATGAAGATGATGACAGTTCTTATTATTCCTATGATACACCTAATGTCAACTGAACTAAAACTGTTATTTTGCATGATCTGCATGAGAAATTATGTTCAACCAAGAAGCTAACTGTAATGCAGTACCTGTAAGATTTTTGTTCTTTGAAAAATCTGATGAAGCTTTGTCATTTTTATGCATTTCCAGACAGCTTTATAAGAGACTCAGTCATAGCAGAGATTTTCATGTAGCTGCCATTCTTTGCCTTTCCCCAATTTCATCTTATTTGTCCTTGTATTCATTTGAGTGGGACTTCCAAAAAAAAAAAAAAAGAAAAAGAAGTGATTTACATTTAAGAATCTGTGACGAAGCCAACCAATGCTGTTATGAGCATAAATCATTTTTATACAATTATGTTTACTGGGTTTTTAAACTCTATTAGTAGTCTGCAGCAACTTCTCTTAGTGCCGTGCTGCTTAACTGATGCAGGACTAAAACTACATAAATAAAGGTGCCTTTAAACGTGGTGAGGCAAAAGTAATAAATTGACATGATAACTAATGTTCCCAGTGTAGCATCACACCTTATACCAGGCTCATAACAGGGTAAGAAAACTTTAGGTGTACCTTGTACCTTTGCACTACTCTCAGAACTCTTACAAATGTCCTCTTGGTTACTACGACTTAACTTGAACTAGATATTAGTCTTTAGAGCAGTGGTGTCCAAACTTTTCAACATGCGAGCCAAAATCATCAAGTTGAAAGTACTCATAGATCATAAAAATAAAATATATTAGATTTTTTTTTATCATATAAACGTTTGTGATTTTTTTTTTGTTTCAGTTCAACAGTAAACACAATATCTTTATTAATGAAAAGACAAAGTGTCCTATTTTTGTGGAAAAGGAGTTCTAAATGTTCAAAATTCACATTTATTAACGAAAAGCACTCGATTCCTTTGATTTGTCACAAATAATATGCATTACTTCTTCAGAAACAGTTGCTAAAAAGGGGTCATGTGGCCCGGCAAGAAAGTTTTTCCCAAAACTTTCTGGACCTCCACAGCCATGGATGTCCAAAAAGAGTGGTCAAAGCTGTCAGTAGCTAAAAGTGAAGCGTAGGAGACTGGATTTGACAGGACTAATAAAAACTATCAAACTGTATGTAACCTATCTCCACGCTTTATCCAAGTCCAGTTTCTCTCTATAGATGATTAAATCAACAGTTCTGTATATTTTTATGAAAACGCCAGCTGTATTCAGCCGAGTTTAATGAACGGTTACTGAAAAGTCTACTTTTATATAAAAGTCAATTAAGATTTGTGGTCCTTTTAACATTAAAATTGGAATAAAAATAATAAACACTTAAATAAATATAAAATACTTGTACTGTACCTAATCTTGCACATTTTTTTTTTTTTACAGTTTTAAAGCAAAAAATGATACAAATGCCACCTTAAAATTTGCAGAAGGTATCCATCTGCATCAGCCTCTTAAGGCTGTACACAAGATTCTGCTCATTTTAAATTGAAGTCGCTGTCCGCACAGAATCACTCAGAGGACCTCAAATGGCCCGCGGACCACACTTTGGATACCCCTGCTTTAAAGGGACAAATAGCACAAAGCAAAGATATAAAACCAAAAATAAACAGAGCATCCTAGGTTTATTAATAGTTCTCATCTCTTGTAAAATAAAGCACAAACACAATAAAAAGGGGACCAAGAAACTTTACAGAATAAATCACATTTTGATCAACCAGCTGATTCCTGCTGCTCGTACGTATTTAAAAGGTCAAAACTTTTCCTTGTATTGATACTGACCCAATATTTATGCACAAGATTTTTCAGGGCACTTTATCAAATCCTATATGTAGACCAATCAGTCATGTTCATCAGTGGGGGAAAAAAGTCCTTATAGCAACTCATCCAAGTTGAATTTTTATTCTGAATGAGCAAAGTTTTACATCTTGAGTCACGTCTCTTTGTGGTGATTAATGGACGTTATATATTTAAGAAAAAAAAACATTGTGTAGATTTGATGTGAAGAGATGCAGGTGAATTATACGGTCATACAATCCAAGAGGGGGGAGAGAAAATCATTATGACAGTATCTGATTCTGATGTGGGTCTACTTGGGGAAAGGTAAACGCATGTATTTTACATTTATGCAAAAGAAAAAGTATTCGAATAAAACATGTAAATACAAGTCCTTGCATGAAATAAATTTTATACACAACGAGCATTTAGACTTTGTTTTTATTCAGCAGCACATGCATACATACATCATCCCTTCTCCTTCCTACTTGATCCTCCAGCTGCTCATGTTGTGGTTAAAGAGAGTTTAGGTGGGGGTACCGTGAGAGCATGACGCAAAGTCTAGAAACGCATGACGGGGACCGAACCAGTCGACGTCAACTTTTAAAGCGCAGCATGATCGGGCATGTTTATTAACCGACTCAAGAGGCAGGCAGACGGTAACTTGGTGTCTGAGCATGGGAACACATGGTAAACCCTCCGCTTACCATGACCAACTAACGGAGCACATTTTCTTTACTCTCCATCAGCACCATCACTTCCACCGTCAAACATAATTTGTGTAATAATTTATTTTTGTTATTGTTTTATATGTTTATAGAGACCCAACGACAGCAGCGGAGCAGACAACCAACAGAGTCAGTTTGTGTTATGAACCATGGTGTCCCAACCACTATGTGTATGACCCATAACGGCCCATCACCCACTTGATAGTACTGTAGCTGTTTTAATTTGGATTCTTTGGTGCGTGTACAACTTAGTCTTTTTCAAACGGGTGTGACAGTGACAACCTGTACATCACAAACTCAGCATAGATGTAGCAGTGAGGAAGTTTTGTCAAGCCTTATGTAGCTCAGTATTTGTGGTTACTGTGTTGTAATTTGTGTGCCTATTCTTTAGTGTGTGCCAGTGCTGTAAATACGCTTCTTTTATGTGCGTGCTAAATGTGTACCAATGTTTTTGAGTGATCATCAAATATATGTGTGCTTCTTGTGTTGAAAGAAAAAAAAACATGTTGCTCCGATTTTAGTCGCACCTTTCAGTGTAAAAAGAAAAAATAATCTCACCTGTCGCATCAGCCGGACCGAACAGTTGACAAGTCGTTAACTTTGCACTGTCACGGTCACAGTTTTGTAGTTTTGCACTGTTTTGCACCAGTGAACTTTTAACATTCCTTGGTATGTTTTTTTTTAAACATCAGTGATAATATCCACAAGAAGTTGCACAAGGAAAAATAGGGTCACTTTTCAATAAAGCACCACTCTTACCTACGACGAGGGAATAAAAGGATAGTTCGGATTTTCTAATGTGGAGTTCAGTGGAACAGATATGAACAATTAATATCTTATCTGTTGTAGATAACTATAAACAATGTGGATTTGAAGACATGGATTTTTGCTGCAGGGTTAGAACAGCTCAGGTCTCACTGATTGTGTAATGTTTCATCGGAACACTTTAATAAATGTTTGCATTGCTGTCATATTCCCATTCTGGCAGAAATGTGATGATATACTCTGCACCTGAAGCTCTACAACTAGCACCTGCTGCTGGTATGTTTACTTACTTACAAATAACTTTGGGATGCAAAACGGATGGTGGTGTAAAGGTTTATAAAACTGTATTCATGTAAACCGCTACAGAATCTGTGAGATCAGAGGTTTTTTTTTAAGATGGCAGAAATCCACTTTGTTCATGGCTCTACTCAGACTAGCCCCTCAATCCAGTCAACATTAAACTTTGTTGTACTTACCTAGGATTCACAGCTCCCACTCTTTGTGGAAGGCTTTTTTGCGAGATTTTAGAGTATTTCTGTGGGAATTTGTGCCCATTCACTCTGTAGAGCATATATGAGGTCAGGCACTGATGTTGGCCCAGACCAGATCTTTTTAAAACTTGTTTTGTGCACTAGTGCATGTTGGAACAGAAGGGCATTCCCAAAAGTGTTGCTACAAATCTGGAAGCATAACATTGTCTAAAATATCTGTGTGGTGGCATTAATGGTCCATAACTTTTCCACAGAATCCCACTACAAAAGAATCTGAACTGCCCCTTTAAAATAACAAGCTGCCATGTTAACATAAGAAAATCATTCAAACAGATAACACACGTGTGCTCTGATGGACACGCATAAAAGATAAAATACTGGTACCACTTTACTCAGGCTCCCCCTATAGATAGCTAATAGTTTCTAAATAATTATTAATTCCTCTATAAACACTTTATAAATCATTAATAACTGCTTATTATACATTAATTAAGGTGAGAAAGAGACAAAACTGACCAGTTTCTTGCCAAATAGTGAGCCCAATCTGCCACCTATATATTTAATCTTGTTATATTAAACATTTCAGACTAAGATTATAAGATATAAGTATCTATAGTTGTAGATACTTATAATTTAGTGATAAAGTACAATATTATATCCTAAAGAAATAGGTTTACAAATCCTTATTGTGCTTACAAGGTAGTAACAGCCTGAAATGTTTAATATAACAAGATGGAATGTATAGGTGGCAGATTTGGGTCAATATTTGGCAAGAAACTGGTCATTTTGTCTATTTCTCACCTTAATTATTGCATAATAAGCAATTATTAATGATTTATAAATTGTTTATAGAGGAATTAATAACGTATTTATAAACAATTTATTAGCCATTTAAAAGGGGAGCCTTATTGTAAAGTGGTACCCAGTATTGTTCAATTTTTATAACCTTTTAATCCAAATATTATGCAGTACATAGTGTTTTAACTGAAATCGTATAATTGGATTTTGTTTTTCTGTAGCGTTTTAGTGTGGAATACCACTGGTTGCCAAACCATTGTCTTCATACTGGACAAGTGCCTCTGATATGCAATTTCCTCAACTTTTAGAATAGATTACAAGATTACCTACAGCTCGTTAAGTTTTGTCATTAGTCACCAGCCATTATCAACAAGCATCGATTTTGCACTCAAAGGCATACACAACAATAAAGCCCCCCCCCCCCACCCCCACCCATATGAATCCACTCCTACAGTCAAGCAATGAGCATTTCTAATTACAGACTCTAAGGACAAGCACTGATTCTTGTTTGTGTGGAAAAGTTAGTGAGAAGGGACCAACTTTTTTACCAAACAACTGCACACACACTGCCAATAACTACAGCTGATTTCAACCTGCCGGTAACACTCAGCACAAATGGGGGGACTGTATGCTAGTTGTTCAACAAATAACTTAATTAATTAAATAAATAAACACTGCAGCTGTTATTGTGGACGAAACAAGACGAAAAAAATAAAAACTATGCGGCACCAAATATGTGCCATTTAGCAAGATTATAGAGTGTGTGTTTGAAACACCGTGCAAGTTGTGGTTACTTATCTCAGTGAGATGTTCGGTGGTCGTTTTGATTGGTTTGATGTTTAGAATTTTTTTTGTGTCTTACAATTAAGACTTGTACAATATAGTGATAAATAAAAAAAAACAGAGAAATAATCAGGTTTCAGCGAGTGTTGATTTATTTTTTACCGACCCAAGTAAAAGCAGTTTGTCTTTCATGCATCGTTTCAGCGGTGATGCTGCTGAAACACACAAAACGGAACAGAAATAAATAAAACAGGAAGTTTAATGCAGAAACGAGCCTTCCTGCACCTTGTCAATGTCTCTGACTAAAAACAAAACCCAATTAAGAACTTTGGTTATTATCCCAGCTCTGCACTGCTGATGTCTTCTGCTCAGAAATATGTTAGTTGAGTTAAATGCAGTAAATGCGTTTTAACTGATGTGAGTCAACCAAGTACAGAAGTGGTAAAACAAATGTACAATCAAAAGAGGAAATGAATATTCTGCTACAGGGCATGACAATAAATAAGTTAGAGACATGAAAAAAAAAAACATTATTGCATGTTGAAACTGTAAATTTAAGGGGAAAAAAGGATCTAAATGATCTTTTCCAAATTTCGTAATTATTTACTGAAGGTCAACATGACAGCAATAAATCCCTGACACAGGAAGTTAAGAGTTTTAGCACCAATCAAATCAATTCCTTAAACGCAGCAGCTTGAATATGAAAGACTAAAAAGATAGTCAGAAATCAGCAGCTAGATACCAAACTCCAGACACATGATGGGCCAGAACCGTGTCCAACCGTGGAGGAGAATTATGACAACTCCTGATTGAAGTGGGAGCTCAGAGGCCTTCAAAAGTGACAGTTTCCATGCACTAAAGAGAACTTGGAACGATTGGCAAAGCACCAGTAAGCAACTAAAAGAGAACTGTCCCAATCCTCTCAAACCATTCTGTTTTCTGTGGTCTGACTGTCATTCTGTGCAAAGTTTGTGTCCCAGTGTGTCTCGTGTGGAGTCACAGTTCTGTCTTGAGCCAGTCGTCACAGCGCACACGGCCATAGAGTGTCCAGCTCCGCAGCCAATGAGAACAGGTCTTAGATCAGACACGAGCTGAGGACGAGAGACGTCAGCCTGAGAACCGTCTCCACACATTCCGTGTTCATTCCAGCCCCACGAGAGAAGACAACCCCCTGAAAAGGAGAGCAATTTCTGGTCAGTGACAGGACATTGTGGGGGGGAGGGGGGAACAGAGGTGTGCAATGTGGGCTAAAATTAGAAGCCTGAGGGGATAAAAGAGGCTGGGTGCAAAAACAAGACATGAACAGAACAGAAGGCGCACAGTCACACACGCAGAGCTCCTCTGATCTCAACACGCACGCTCAGCCAGCAATAAAGCATCCCTGCTCTTCACAGCTGGCGAGCTGCTCAGTGGGTGTGGTCAGGTCTGCATCACCGAGGAGACACGCACCATGGCAACACCGTTACCTAATAGGCTCCATTGCCATGGCAACAGAAGGGAGCTTGCGTCCTCAAGGGTAACACATCTTCAAGCTTCTCTCGTCGTGCGCCTTTCATGTTTTCATCGTCGAGCGGTTGCTTTTGTCGCTCTGTGTTTTTAGCCGGTCTCTCCGAGGTTTGGATCATCCGACAGACACATCTGCTTCTGCCAGTTAGTGCCCAGAGACATCCCACCAGCAGCTTGTGTCTGACTTGCTGCCAGAAACAGCTATGCGTTACAAAAGCACTTGTAGCCTTTGTCTTTAAGATGCAGCATGGATCCGGTAGACGGCATTTGGCATAACTTCTAGTTAAGTGCGTTCACTAAACATTTTTTTTTTTTTTAACCGTCGGCGAACTTAATGTGTTAAAGCATGCTTTGCTTTTAAAGAATAAAAGCTTCATTCTGACGCTGTGCTTAATTCATGGATTTACTGACTAGGATACAGCACATCAGTGTTTCCATGGCAACAAAGTGCCAGTACAATGTTCTGCACAACAAAGCCGTTTCCTGGTAAACAAATCCAGTCACAGATTTTCTTATTATACAGTTTACATTTTCACACCTAATAACAGAAGCACGGTGACGTCATCTGCAGAAGCTGCCCTCCTTCTTTAACTTGCATGAGTCTAAAGGTAGAAGTAAATTCAGTGTAAGCTGTTTATAGTCAAGTTTAGGTATTCACATGAACGTTTTTCCTCAGATTGGATGAGCTGTGCCCACAGAGTCTTTGGCTTATCTCCCAACTGTGACCGCCGATGATGAATTTCATGCATGAGGACCACTTGCTCAGGTGCAAATGAGCACGGGCCGAGCAGGCAACAGATACCATAAGCAGCGTGCAAAACTCTTTATTCTTTTCCACCTGACCTACTTCAGCACCAGAAATAGCAACACTCGGGTCTCTGCTTCCAATCCTGTTTTGCTATTTCATTACTCCTGCCACCACAACTGACACAAAAAAAAGGAGGAAAAGAAAAGAAAAGAGGGGAGCGTGGCAGAGGAGCCAAGTGATGGAAGTTCATGTGAGCCCTCCCTCTACCGGCCCTGCTTTAATGTCTACTAAATTAACTTTACAAAGCACAAAACAGCACTTGTGGTCAACTTTTGCTAAGATGGACACTCATTGACATTCTTCAGTAACAGCATGCTCAGTATTCTTCTTTTCTGGCTGATCAGAAGATTGAAAGCAGGTAATGTGAACGCTTGTAGCAGTCCCAGCAACGTTCAAGGTTCCTCTCCAATGAAACTTTGCACTTGCATTTTTAGTGTTCATCTGTGGTATTTTTATTCATGCTGATGTAAAAAAAAAAAAAAAAAACTGTGTCAGTGTTCAAAATTTAATGTGAAAGACTTCACATCCAAAATGTTTCATACTGCTGGTTGAAACTTTGGAAAAGCAGGAAGTTAAAAAAAAAAATGAAAACACAGTAAATCTCTACAGGACCTGAGACGTGCGTTTAGGCTCATTAATCATCGCTGGGGGCTGTAGTGTTTATGTGAATCAAAATATCTGAAAAAATGCATGTAAATGTAGTTAATTTAGCTCCTTCAAAGCCTTGTTGGGGTAATCGCCTCTGTCGACGATATCCATCTGTAATGTTGTAATTACTGTTGATGAAGAGCCACAGAGCTAAGAGCTGACCTCAAAAACTCTCTGCAGCTTTACTCAGATTCATTTTTTACACTGCGGTTTAATTATAATGTATTAGATAGTCCCTTTGCAGATTCTTTGGTATCACAAGAAGGATGAGTTGAAATGAGTTGGCCTCACCTATGTGTCTTCTGTGTTCCTTTATGCAGACATGTCAGGACAAAAGAGGCGTCTCACCTTTCAGTCACGTGCACTTTTAGAACCTAATAAAGCTGTGAACAGTTCTGTTCTGCACAACTTCATTCAGTTCAGTCAATTAAAGAAGATCCAGAGTGCACATAAAATATGTCATCTGCACAAGAATGAACAGTACATTTAATACGTATAACTAGAAATGCACGATACTGGATTTTGGGCTGATATCTGATATGCCCTTATGTTAAAACTTATTTGGCCGATACCAATACAGATATTTTTTCCCTAAACCTACTTACAGAGACTACATAGTTTTCTCTGCTGTGGAATTAAAATACTACATTTTTCTGCATGGTCTTTGTCAGTTTGGTCTGCTACCAAATGCAGAAAATGATGTAACACTTCAACTTGGATTATGTTTAATGTTAAATTTATTTATGACATTTACTCTCTCTGACACAATGACAACACTCGAACAGAGCAAATTTGTAAATTTTCACAAATCTAAACTCAACCTGTTCACAAGCGACAAGTGAAATGCACATAAGTAGTAGTGCATTAATATATAATACTTGACAAGTTTCTTAAATTAAAAATTAACTTAAAACAGAAGCCCAATTTGTGGTTATGCAATCTTAACGATCAACTCAAATCGCTATGAATTCTGATATGCAAATACGCAAATAAAATCAAAAGTGCAAAAAATATTGTCAGCTTCTTTCCTTCGTCTCTTATTTAAGCTTGTTTCTACAAAAATTGTGTAACAGAGCATGAGAAGTTCAAACTGGCAAAAAATGCCAAATAACATGCACTACATTTTAGCATATATACATATATATATATATATATATATATATATATACATACACACATATATGT